GCAGCCTGTTCCAGTGCTCCATCACTCTCACCGTAAAGAAGTTCTTGCACACGTTTGTGCAGAACTTCCTGTGCTCCAGTTTTTGGCCATTTCCCCTTGTCCTGTCTCCACACACTGCTGAAAATAGTCTGGCCTCGATACTCTGCCCCCCACACCTTAGATATTTATAGACCTGGATCAGGTCCCCTCTCAGTCTTCTTTTCTCAAGGCTAAACAGACCCAGTTCACTTAGCCGTTCTTCACAGGAGAGATGCTCCAGGCCCTTCACCATCTTTGTGGCCTTCTGCTGGACTATTTCCAAGAGATCACTGTCGTTTTTGTGCTCGGGAGCCCAGAACTGGACACATTACTCCAGATGAGGCCTTATTAGGGCAGAGTAGAGGAGGAGGATCACCTCCCTCGACCTGCTGGCCACGCTCTTTTTAATGTGCCTCAGAATGCCATTGGCCTTTTTGGCCACAAAGGCACACTGCTGGCTCATGGCCAACCTGTCGTTCACCAGGACACCCAGATCCCTCTCTGCAGAGCTCCTCTCCAGAAGGTCATCCCCCAACCTGTATTGGTGCATGCATTTATTCCTCCCTAGATATAAGTCTCTACACTTGCTTTTGTTAAACCTCATCTGTTTTCTTACTGCACAGCTCTCCAGCCTGTCCAGGTCAGTAATAGGTTGCAAAGGAAAGGATGAGATTCCAAAGAATGTCCTGTGGTGGACAAGTTCTTTAAGAAAAGGATTTAGCCTTTTCCTTTTAAAGCAATAAGTTAAAAGCAATTCTTAAAGATAGTCCTTTATTTCCAGTGGGAATGGGCTTACTGAAGAATTGACAAAAAATATTTTAACCTGTTACCATTCCTTAAAGTAGAAGCTGAAGAGGCTACATGCACTCAGGTTTGAGGAGACTAGGAGTCCATTACTGTTCTGCTGCAGATTAATTTGATATATCAGGCAAGTCAAGGTTCAATTGGCAAATTAATTTATCACACTTATATAACAAGCCATGGCATCATATCAAGATATTACTCCCATGCCTTTTTCGATAAGCATAAATGCAGAACTTTGATGCAAAATAAATCTGTTTCATTGCATGACAAATTAAGTAGCACTACTTTGACATTAGGTAAGAACATAAAAATAGACAGTTACATTAGAACTGATGCAAGGAAATTTGTAAAGCAGAAATGATGTATTCATGCATCTTTTCCCTCAGTGCCTTAAGTTCCTCACTGTTAGAAGAGGTTGTAGTACTTCAAACTCTACAGAATAACTATTAAAATCTTTTAATTCCTAATATGTGTGCTTTTGGGACTCCTAACTGAGAACAATGAAAATCAGATTAACTATCTTCTATCCACATTTTGTGCAGATGGACATTCTAGAATTCATCACAGCAGGATCTGATGAAAAACGTGGTAAAAATAACTATAAAATCAAAGGCTTTTAGTCTTGTTTTTGATGTTGATAGACCTGAAGTACTTAGCCTTCAATCTTCAGGCCAGCCTTGTGGCTGTGAAATTACTCAAAACACAATTTATCTTAACTTTCAGGGAAAAAACTTGTTTTTATCTAACATTTACAAGAAAATATTTATCATATGAGTGAAATTGTCATAAAGAGAAAAAAATGTCAAATGGTAATTTTAGTGAGATGAATGTATGAAGAGAGAGTTCAGACAATCTTTGCTGTAAGTTGATGTGTCCTGTAAAGGGAAGGTGGTCTCTGGCAACAGCTGCTTTTCATCAGAGCATTATGCACATTTGAGATTTTCAGAATTTCATCAGCAGGAATCCGTAGGAGGCATTGAGCAAGAAGATACAGGAAAATCTATTTTGAGTTCCCTAAGAAAAATGCTGCTTTTAGAAGGGAATTACCAAGGCCTCCAATATAGGTGGTGTTCTTCATGACTCCAGACTGCAAGGAGACAGCCTGTATCTGTATCTCTGCAGCTATGGGGAGGAAAATATTCCCAGCATGTCTCCTAAATGTAAAAGAGATTATCATAATTTAAGTTGCATAAATGAACAGCTTAAGTTATTCCCAATATTTCAACTAATTTCTTCCAGTGACCTGGAGTAAAAACTTCTTCCACTTAACTGGAAGAAACATGGAAGTTATGCTTATTCCTCTGTGGTATTGGTCAGAGGTCCTTCAAGAAGCAGAAACAGTAGGAATAAAAGAGCTTTTATAATAAATACCCTGATTTCATATAAAATCTTTGCACCCTTCGGTTCTTAACACTATGAGCTCAATTTTTCTAGGAATGACTAGCAGTTTCTGTTAAAGACACTGCTTTTATCAAATACTTTTTTGAGGACTGATCTATTACAAGTAATTCTTTACAAATGAATTACCTGTGGTCTTTATCAGTGAAAAATACAAAGTCTTAGAGTCTACATATACTGTACATGCATCTGTGTCATCAACAAACTGTTCTGGAGGGATGCACCAATATCTAAAATGTAAGTGTAAATGTTATTTGAATCAAATGGACCACTTTATACATGGGGTCTTGGGTTGGTTTTGTTACTTGTTTTTTTGTTTGTTTGTTTTTGACAATGCAGTTGTTTGAACAGAAATAGAAATACCTACAATAGAAATGCCAACTGGGCATACCTGAGAAAGGGATGTAACCGTAGCCTCATTAATAACACACCACACATTTAAAAGGATGCATTGCAAGTAAACACTTAAAAAGATGGATCTTTCCTTTCAGAAATCTCAAAATGCAGGATTTGTAATGTTCTTTTGATTATGATTGGTTGTTTGTTTTTTCTTTCTTTCTTTTTTTCCTCTGTGTTTACAATTTCTGTTTTCATCTGGATATCTTAAAATAACTCAGTTTTACTGACTGTATTAGCTAATAGCCATTGGTGTTTTTCTGCTACTTATTTTATGATGTATATATAGATTAGATATGTTCTAATTTGTTAATATTTGAAATTGATCTTAATATCTTTGCTTGTATTAAAATTACACATTAAGTAATCTTTTGATCCTGTGAAGAATCATGCCCCTACTTGCATGCATAGTGAGTAATAACATTAATGATATTGGAGCTTTTCTGATTGTGGAGCTTAAGATTCTGAATGTACTTGTCTTTTTTTTTTTTTTCATTTTCTGTCTTTCTTTCCTTCCTTCCTTCTTTCCTTCTTTCTTTCTTTTCTTTCTTTCTTTCTTTCTTTCTTTCTTTCTTTCTTTCTTTCTTTCTTTCTTTCTTTCTTTCTTTTTTTCTATCTTTTCTTTCTTTTCTTTCTTTTCTTTCTTTCTTTCTCTTTTTCTTTCCTTCTTTCCTTCTTTCCTTCTTTCTTTCCTTCTTTCTTTCTTTCTCTCTCTCTGTTTCTCTGTTTCTTTTTCTTTCTTTCTTTCTTTCTCTCCTTCCTTCCCTCCCTCCCTCTTTCCCTCTTTTCCTTTTTTCTTTCCTTCTTTCTTTCTTTCCCTCTTTCCTTTTGCTTTTTCTTTAAATAAGCTGCTTAGTAGTAATTTCATATGATGAAACCACAAGAACATACATAATACATTGTTTTTCACTCAAAGAATATTAATGTGAATAGTGAATTTTAATTTTATTTTGTGATTTGACCTCACTTCATATATGCAGATACTTCTATACAGATAAATTAATTTATCTCTCTCCATATAGGCCAAAGGGTTTATTATAAATATAATGATTTAATTTTCTCTCCAATATGCATGTCCTTTAGAAATAGCTTTAGTGTTTGATAGTAAACTGGCCTGAGTGTTCCAGAGCCTCTAAGTGCATTAATTTTGTCTTTCTATCAGTTGCTCCATCATTACGGCAGAATCTCAGACTGATTCCTGTGCAAAGTGCAATTTATACAGGGTATTAACTGTGCAGCCACTGTGCTGCAAACAAACATGAGCAAGATATAAGATTTTGCCTATTTAACTAGTCCCTACTTTAAAAATAAATAAATAAATAAAATATCCAGAGATATGAAAAGAGCTTTGGATTTAATATGAGTAAGGGCAACCTCTTTAGCTGAATACACTTATTTTGCAACCCAACATCAGCATAACTCAATGTGTGTTTCCATGGCATTTTCTATCCAAAAATAGTCTCTTTTTGTTCTCTAAACCAACAAGAAGCCATGTAGCTGTAGTTAGCAGTGTGCTAGTGTGATTGAAATGCTCTTGCATTTTCAATTGATAGGAAAAAAAGTAAATGAGTAGTACAGTCAATGCTCAGAAAATGTAAACTAGCAGCTGTGTGAGATTAGGAAACTGCTTCACTTTTGAAGAATTTACTTCACAGCTGCTCATTACAGACTTTCTCCTTCCAAATATCTTGCATCAGCTTTTGCTTTGAAACGGGTGTGGGACTGAGAAACTTGCTGTGATCACATGAGGTATCCTAGACATTATGAAACAGGATATGAACAACACCCTTCAGTCCTTGAGGTGATTCAACCAGGACATTTCTTTAAGCAATAAAAGCAGAATTTCAGCCTGTAGCTTCCAAGTTATTCAGATTACCTGGGTTTAAATTTACTATGACCCACTCAACTAAGAGTCTTTTGTGACATTTTATGCTGTTGTAGTGTTGGGAATCTGTCTGAAAAAAAATGTGCTTGTAACAAATCTAATAAGAGATGGTAATATTTTAGTATTTATTTTCCACATTAAATAGTGCAGGTAAAGCACAACTTACTTTCACATCTACTGAAAATTATCTGAACCTTCTAAATTTTAATTGAAAAATGAAGGTTTCTGAAGCCTTTAATCATAAATTCAATTATGTTCAAATTAATTTAGCTTCAGGTGAAATGTGATTATATTTAATGTCATCCTATTTTTTGAACTTTTACAACAAATTAAAGTGAAACGAATTTTCAGTTTTACCAAGGGATTCTTAAAGTACTTTCTCATTTAATAGTTTATTACAGCATTAAAATGTTAATTAAAAGTTCTGCTTTGGGAGCTTCTTTCTTGAGCAATCCTCTCTATTCATACTTTTATTTAAATTGAAAATGTCCTGAAAATGGACATATATATGGATCTATATAGGTATAGGATAAAATAAATATTCTGACTTGACAATAAGTGGAAATATAGATAGAAGACAATTGGTGTTTTGTACCTCTGTGTTTTGTACCTTTCTAAATAAACCATAATATACATTGTGTAAAAATATTTGGCGGTAATAGGAGTATGCTTATGTAATCCTAATTTCTGTTTTTGTTTGTGATCTTGTCATAAAAAACACAAACATATTAATGAAAAACAGCAAGTTTGACCAGTATGAGATGGTCCAGAGGAATGCAGTGCACAAGGACAAATACAGTTTCATGATATTATTCTGAAATGTATTTAGTAGGAGTGTTTAGAATAAGAATCAAGATGCTTTAATGAGGCCATGAAGCTTGTTCTCTGTAGAACTAATTAGTTTTCACTGAAACTGGATAAATGCAGAGGTGCTACATTCAGTATCTTCATCCGCATTTCCAGACATACTTGCATAGACCACTTTGCCCTCCATCAAGGTACAGAAACTTAGTTTTAAGGAAGAATAATGAGAATTGAAAAAGAAACACTTGTTTTGAAAATGGTCTACGAGAAAGAGTATGAATTGTTGTATTTTGTGCATTTTGATAGACATTGCTGCTTCTGGGGGAAAAAGAACTTGTACTAGAAATCAGCATAGATGGCATTTTAATTTCAGGATGGAAAATATGAGAATCACTGTACCTGATGAGACCTGGTTTAATTGTATAGTGTACAGATTTGTTATACCACATTTAGAGATTGATTTGGTTAAGAAAATTAAATGAATTAAATTAAAAAAAAAATCTTTTTAAATTTTCATTTCAAAACCAAATCGTAAGAAAATAAAGGGAAGGAAAAGAGAAAGATGTGATAAATAACCAAAGATGAAAAGGAGAAAAGTATCTTAAATATTAGCACTGTTAAGTGAACTGATAATTATACACAGATCTTGAATACCTTCCCAGCAATTGGAACAATCAGTTCTGTAAGCAATTCACATTGCTTCCATGTATGCATTTTCTAATGAATCAGTATAGTTAGTGGAAAGATAATATCATCCAATAATATTATTACTACTTTTGTTATTTAGAGGAGTTCTCTAAAATAAAACAGAAAAAAAAATGTCCTCAGTCAATCAAACAATTGCTTTTAATTTAATAAAAAATATCTTGGCAATGTCTGTCTTATTTTTCTTTTAAACTTTAAATATTACAAAGGCCATCAAATATAACCTTGCTGGCTGGTTGAGGAAAGGAACTGTCCAGTTCTACTCTGCTCTGGTGCAGCCTTTACTTTGAGTACTGTGTGCAATTCTGCATCCTGAAATGTAAGGACTAGATGGGAACTGTTTCATCATGGCCTGAACCCCTGATTGATCACCTGAGGCAAGCAATGGGTCAGCTGTGGGAGCACAGGTGAAGGCAATTCATCTGTGTGACCGGAAAGAGTGGAACCTGGTTCTACCTCTCCTAAATCCCATTTAAGGGCTGACTGCCAGTGAGGAAGGACCTCTCCTTGGAGACTGCTTTTCTTGGAGTCCTTTTCTGTGGCCCTGGGACATGGGTAAGCTTTTCTATTCATTTCCAATTATCCCTTTTCAACATGATAATCTTTCTGGCTATATGTTCTCTGAAGACCAGCCTAACTTCTCTGTATACTTGTCAGTTATACATATATATACTTGTTGATTATACAAAGGATGTAAAACATTTGAGAACACTGAAAGGAGTGCTATGAAGATGGTGAAGACTCCAGAGAGCAAGATGTATAAAAAACAGCTGAGGTCGTTTGGTTTGTTGCTGTCTCAAAGAGGAGACTAAGCCTCCTGGTGGCTTATAGCTTCCCCACTGCTTTCTATAGCAGAGGTGCAGGTGCGGATCTCTGAAGTGACAGCAATAGGTCCTAGCATAATGCTCTGTCAAGGCAGACAGAACCTTTAGGAAAAGGTTTTTCATGAAGAGGGTGGCTAGGCAA